AACTCAAAGGAAGGTATCACCTGTCTGGCATTGTTTCTTGTTATGTAGCCTTTACCTACATATATAAGGACTCTTAAAAATTATACCGACCCCATTAATCTTTGCTTATACTTTCCTTTTGGCTGTTTAAGACCCTACAATTGGCCCAGATAAAACGATTTATTTTTACTCTTAAGGTCATTTGAGGATCTGTTCCTGAGGGGTCACAGGGGCTTGAAAGGAGCCCCTGGCTCCTTTATTTTACCAGTTCCACCTATGTGAAGATAAGTCAAAGGTCCTGCTCCACCATGGTTGGCTTCCCTTGGAAGCACGGAGGAAATGATTCCTCTGTGTTGACCCTCCTCTTTCTAGACTGGACACTGGTTCAAGTCCATCTGGTGGGGTCTCCTCAGTCTTCTTGATCAAGAGGACAGGTGACCCACCGCCATTATAGGACATTTTGAGAGAAGCTCATAGTCTCCTGGAACTAGTCGACCTAGGAGGGCAAGGAGAAAAAAAGTCTCCTTTATGTCTCTCTGACCAAATTATTATAGGCCTCAAAGTGTGTCTGCTAAACACCCAAAAAGGTTAATTCCACCAGCTTGGTGTTTTTAATTGCTGTGTGTCACATAGATAAATCTTGGGCAAAGACCAGTCGTTCTCAGATAAACCTTACGTAGATATAACGTTTCTTGATCTGCTATGTATAATTTGTCAGTAGGTTGTAGGGGTAATATGGTTCTCACTAGTTATCAAAGCTAGCTAGGCATTGTTTATCTCTCACATTGTCTTACCCCTCCATCATGGTTTTCCCTCTCAAGGTGCCCCCATTGCCCCCCTTTCTCCCGTAATAATACCCTTCTACTATGGCCCTACCTCCCTTGAGTTCCTTCTTTCCCTTTATCCCTTAGGTTCCTTGTATACCCTTCCCTCCCCCCTCCCTTAAACTAACCCAATTTTTATCCATATCTCCCTTATTAAGGCCTGTTTCCTACTGTTCTCTTTCAGATTCTTTCTTTACGTTTACCTCCCTGGTTCCTTACCCTTG